GAGTCTCATATGTGTCCAGTTTAAGGGTATTACACAGAAACACACCATAATAACATGAATCAAATATGTACTTTATTCATTTACATTAAATGTCATAATGTACATCATTCTGATTGGAGCTAAGGGCATACACTGTCTAACAGAAGATAGAAACATTATTGCTCTTTACTCCGGTTCGTGGAGTAGGGTGATGTGGCAAGGGCCGAGTTTCTCTTTGCAACATATGGGGTTGAGAAGACTAAAGAGTTGGGTATTAATAGACTGATCATCGAGGGAGACTCAAAAACTGTTATAAAATGGTTGCAGAAAGGGGAAGGGATGACATGGCAGCTGAAGAATGAATTCAAAAGATTTAAATGGTTGTCAAAGGACATGTCAATCCAGGTGGGATGGGTGAGGAGATCTGCCCACAGTTTAGCAGATAGCTTAGACAAGCAAGGGGTTCAAAGAACACATGTTTTGGGCACATTTATAATTCTGTTTTGGGTCAGCTTACTATAGCTGGTATCCTTTTCAACTTCTTGTATTCTTAATTTTTCTAATTAATGAAATCATTTCAGAGTTATTGATCAAAAAAAATTTTAAACCTTATATAGTGTACCAATGAAATCTGAATTATCGCTTACATATTGGAAAAATATTGGAGATTTTGGAAAAAAAGATTGCTAGAAAACTTCCTATTGCAACCTAGCAAAATGGAGATATTTCGGGGATAGTTTGCCAATATCACAAATATTGTGAACCATGCTTTCACCTCAATGAAAAAGAAATATCAAGTTTGATAGTTGTTTCATTAAGAAGTCAAGGACCATAAGGAATAGAAGTTTTTAGGGATCCAACAAGTGATGTTTTGCTAGTTTTCTAGGGCTCCATTGGTTTTGGAAGATTTCCTTAGAGCAGATGTTGAAAGCCTATTACAACGATTGCAATTTATTATGAGCATGGGTGGGTTTTCAGCATATGGAGATTGAGGGAGACTCCTGGATAGTGATTGTGTGGTTCAGTGCTTAACATATTGAGTCTTGGATTTTTGGGCATCATGTTAAAGAGTCTGCATATTTGTAATTTAGGGTGAACTGTAAATCAAATCAGTGTTGAGATACTCTAGTTCTCTAGTAGAAAGCTTAGCTGGAGGAGGGTTGGGGAGAGCAGGTTTGCTTTGGGGGTTTTCTGCACCAGAATAATGTCATTATGACAGGCTATGTGGCACCCTTGATATTATCTTAAATCAAAATTTATGTTATTGTATCCTTTCCTATGAGAGATTTGGTTCTTGCTCCTTGTTGCATGTGGAGCCAGAGGATTATATCTTTTCATCTTTTTGCATTAATATAGTTGTTTGGTCAGGTTACTGATGGAATAGTTTCAGAATTATTTTTCTTGTAAATATCTTCATGAGCTATTTTGATCTTTGTTGACTCATGTCTCTTGATATAAGTGGCTTATTTTGTTGGTCCATGCCTCTTAAATATGTCTTAAAGGATTTTAGCTTTATCTATATATTTGATGTTGTCAGTGAGTAGGGATATCTCTCAGAAATTGTAACTGGATCATCCAATGATAATCATGAACTAAATTAAAATTCACACTTCTTTCGTCTTTATTCCCTTTTGGCTTGTGTTTTGGCTTGTTGACCTTCCTAACCTTTTTGATCTCGCAATTCAGGTTAGCCTTTCTGAGAGAGATAATGAGATGTCAAAGAAGCTAATAGGGATACTGAAGAGATTCAGGGAAAGCAACCCTTACTACTATCAGCTGCCCCAGCTCTTAAGACAAGGGGAGCAACCAAGAGAAGCTTTCTTGCTGTTTGCAAACCTTTTGGAGGACCAGAGTTGTGGAACCAGTGGGTATGTCGACTGGATGCTGCAATTACACCGGCAAATTCAACAAAGTGCATAATATGGAGGTATACTGAATTTTAAATTAGTTTATTTCTTTCTTTTCTCCTAAGTAGGTCTTGCTTGATACATAGATTAGTTGAAGAAAATTGTAGAAATGTTTTATATTAGTTGACTTAATTCAGATCTGAAGGCAGAAATGAAAAATTATAAGAGAAAAATAATAAAAAGAGTTGTAATTTTGGGGAGAAAAACTGAATGGGATGTGCACCAATTCTATTCATTATATGAGAGTGATTACAATGAAGAGTAGGACAAATATGCCCATAGTGGGCGACTGCATAATAAAGTAGCAGAAATAAAATAAAACTAACAAAGCACATTAAGGGCCCAGCTCATATAACAACAACATAATAAAAACAGCAGTAGAAAGTAGAAACAAGGAAAAAAATAAGAGAAGAAAGTAGCAGAAAGTTCTTGGAGAAGGAAGAAGAAGAAAAGATAGGAGAAGGGGTGCCAAAAAGTGTTCTGGCTGTGACTGTCATTAGTATTTTTTTATATTAAAAAATATAAATTTGTGTACAAGGACAATAATACCCTTACTGAGGTGGCTATAACTAGAACTGCTATAAGTAAAGATAATGGGTTGCTGCCTATGCCCTCTGATCATTGAGGGAGACTCGAAAACTGTGGTAAAATGGCTGCAGAAAGGGGAGGGGGTGACATGGCATTTGAGGAATGAATTCAGGAGATTTAAATGGCTACCAAGAAGAGGATCTCCTTGGAGAGCTTTAGGAAGTCAAAGAAGAAGGGAGTGGTTTGCAAATTGGATTTAGAGAAGGCTTATGACTTGGTTGATTGGTCTTTCTTGATAGAGGTGTTGAGGAGTTTTGGTTTTGGAGACAGGTGGTGTAAGTGGATCTGGGGCTGTGTTAGGATTTGTCATTATTCTATCCTGGTGAACGGGACTGTGGTTGACTTCTTTCCTGCGTTGAGAGGTCTAAGACAAGGAGATCCTCTTGCCCCATTTCTTTTCACCCTGATTGTTGATGTGCTTGGGAGATTGATCCATAGAGYAGAYTYGAGGAATTTGATAAGAGGGTGGAGAGTAGGAAGGGAGGAGGTTCCCTTAACACTTCTACAGTTTGCAAACGATACTATCCTTTTCTGTGAAGGAGGGAACTTCAATTGGATCCGGAACCTAAAGTTGACAATACAACTCTTTGAGCAGGTATCTAACCTCAAGGTAAACTTTGATAAGAGTTGTGTGCCGGGACTGAATGTGAACGAAAGGGACCTAAGGGAATTTGTAGGTGTGCTAGGTTGTGCAACTTCGGATTGGCCCCTGACATATTTGGGCCTCCCTTAGATAATCCTAAGAGTGTTAGCTTTTGGGCTCCGATAGTGGAGAGGTTTGAGAAGAGGCTGGCGGYCTGGAAGAGAAATTATCTTTCTTTAGGTGGGAGAGTCACTCTCATTAGGTCTACCCTAGCTAACCTACCTGTCTACTATCTGTCAGTGTTTAAGATCCCCTCAAAGGTTTCAAATCTTTTGGAAAAATTAATAAGGAACTTTCTCTGGGAGC